ATAAACAACTAAGTACATTTTGTACTTTAACATGATCAATGATATATACAGATTTGCTAACTACATAAGCACGTATGAGTATTCTGTTCTTCTACATGAACAGAAATATAAGTTTGTTAGTTAGATAAACAAATAAATACATTTTGAACTCAAACAAGAATGGTGATACACAAGTTTGTTAATTATATAAATGGCAGAAAATAATTTAGTTTCCTGCTCAAAGATGTTCTTTTGAAATTCTATTGGGTGATGATGTTTTGCTGGAATTTTCTTGAAGTTATGTACAGATTGTGGCTTTGATGTTTGGGTAATTTTAAGAGATTTGTACCAGCAGGAAAGTAATCATAATATCCAAGTGTTTTGACATCAAGTTCTATTCTATTGTGTTTTATTTTATTTTAGATAATATTTGTGTATCAATCCTGAAACAGTCATTAAAAGGGCAGTTATAGGTGTTCCAAATCTTGCTGATGATAAATTCAGTAAAGTTGTCACTCCTGAAGATGTATAACGTTTTTATTGCATACAAAACATAATCTAGAAGCAATCGTGTCATCTTCTTTGGAGAAAAATATATACTAAAGTTTTGCATAAATGTGATACTTTTTTTACAGTAAAAAATGGAACCAGTGGTGAATGTTATGAAATTTCTCATAAATATTTCTTTTGTATACACACAGGGATAATAAAAGTTGTGTTTAGTGCTATAAATAACTATATGATTATATTATGTTCGAAAAATATTAAAAATGTCAAAAAATAATGCATTAGAATAGAATGTTCTAAAATTACTGTAACTTATTTGGCTTTCTAACTAACCTACAATTAGGTTTATAAAACTAAAATTCATTATTGCTTGAAGCAACATCTTTAGTCTAAACCTATCAAGCATTGGCTTTGATTTCCAAAACAAAAAGAAAACTTGTATGATTTATGTAGTATAGAATGCACTCTTTCTATTGGTTATAAAGATGTCCAATAGCAATGTTAGAGAGAGTTATAGATAGACATTTCTTGAAAAACAGAGGATAATTGAGGAGCATGTCATTTGGGTTGAAATTTTATATTCTAGCTTGTCAGTATCTACAGCATGTGTTTCTAATTGGTTCAACAATCTGAAGCCCTTACAAGAGAAAAAAATCTATAAATGAAAAGTCAGAGCATCACCAAATCGTGCAGAGAGGTACAGATTGAGAATTTATTTAAATATATATATATATTTTTGAAGTTAAGAAACTAAAACTCAGGTAATAAGTTATAAATTACGTTTTGATACCAAGTTTATTAACACTGTGAGATAGCTAATTCTACTTTTATTTTGTTATGGTTTTATTTAGCGTTACTTTATTATTCCTTCTATCGTTTAGTTCAACTATAAATTTTTAGTTACATTAAAGTGCTATCTCACCTTCTAGCTAGATTGTTTGCAATTAAGCACAAAGCTACACAATGGGCTATCTGTGCTCTGCCCACCACGAGTATAGAAACCCGGATTCTAGCGTTGTAAGTCTGCAGACATACCGCAGTGCCAAGGGTGGGCTTCTAGCTAGAGCATGTTGATGTTGAGTATGTATGTATTATGAAACTGACACAAGCTTCCCCTAGTGGTGACATACAGATATAAATGTTCTGAAAGATTATATAGATTTATGTTAATAGCTAGTCACATGAGATGTAACCTCATGGTCTAACCACTACATAAAAACCACTTCCTTGACTCTTAAATGAATTGGTTCACGATACAGTTCAAATTATTGCTAATTATTGTCCAATATTATTATTGATCTTGAGAAGTTGTTTTATTAATTAGTTTTTAAATTCTTCTGCTTCTTTTTCCTAATTCCTATATTTATTGAAATTAATACCATTGAGATATATGTTGTATTGTTTATTAATATTTGTACCTAGACCTGGCTAGACATAGGTTTACTAGTTGTTTTTATAGAAGTGATAAAATCTGTAGTTATTTAAAAGTTCTATTTTGGATTTGTGTTATATTTTAATAAATGTTTTTTTTTCTTTTAGCCGGGTTGTATTGGCATTTTGTTTTAGTCTGTTTCAACATGCATAGATCATAACATAATCTAATTAAAGTTTGAAACTAACTCTGTAGAATGGTTGTGTCTTGTGCACTTTGAATATCCCATGTCAGTAGGGTTAAAGAAACACCACACTGGTTCTTAATCACATATACATTCTTTTGTATGATCTGTTACTTTAAAACAATATCAAGGAAACAAAATTAACACTTACTTGCAATAGTCATAACTAGTGTTGGTTTCAGAAACTATATTCATATCAACAGAAAAGTCACTGACATTGAAATCTGACAGAGTAAAGTTCAGAAATCCATTCAGTGATCCATCTGGTGAAATTAAAACTGAATAGAAAATTTGGTCAATAAAACTAGAAGTAAAGGCGATGATCAATGCCTGAAAAGTAAGAATATAGGATTGATAGTTCAGAAAATAATATACTTTCACCTAAATATCTTAACTAGTTTTGATAGTGTAGAAACAAACATGCTTCACACCATTAAGTAGCTTTGACAATGTAGAAAATAATAAAATTCACACCTTTAAATACCCTACTGCATTATTAACTAGCTTTGATAGTGTAGAAACAAACATGCTTCACACCATTAAGTAGCTTTGACAATGTAGAAAATAATAAAATTCACACCTTTAAATACCCTACTGCATTATTAACTAGCTTTGATAGTGTAGAAACAAACATTAAATGCTTCACGCCATTAAGTAGGTTTGACAGCATAGAAAATAATAAAATTCACAACTTTAAATGCCATGACATATAATCAAACAGATTTGACACTGTAGAAAATAATAAAATTATAAATTATAATAAAATAATATAATTAATTAGGTCTGACACTATAGAAAATAATAAAATTCATGGCTTTAGTTTTTACTGTAAAGAAAATAAAAAAAATCACTGTGTTAAATGTCTATTGCATCATTAATAAAGCTTGATAGAACAAAAAAGAACAACATTTTCATCTTCAATTTCTTACTGCATCATTACTTCTTAAATTAAATGAACATCAATTTATTTTTTAGAATTATTAAACTATTTAATTCTAAAATGGAGTAAGAATACAGTTACTCCGTACTTAGAGAGATTAGGCAAGTTAAAGACAACTTCTCGTTTCTACCAACATTAACATGTACTGTATTATCAACAACTTTTATTTTGTCACGATAGTAGCAATTAATAGTTTTAATATTACATCAAAAACGTCATTAGTCTGTACCATAATTATTCTTTAATTTTATCATTAATATAATAGTCAACTTCACACTCAAATTCTTTTTAAAGTATTTCAATATTCAGGAAAAATACAGTAGCTAATGCAAAAAGTTCATTTCATTTACACTGATTCTTAAGTTGTCGTGCTCTAAGTTCACACACGTGTAAAATATTCCTGTAATCCTGATTGGTTGATTCTGTTTTGGTAGGAATATGGTACAGAATTCTTGATTCCATTGGAAAGTTTTCTGTTATCACAAATGTAAGTATAGAGAATTATGTATTAAACAGCATGCTTTACTTGTTTGTTTTTAACACTAACTGATAGTAATACAACTTATAATGATAAAGGAATACTTCAGAAGTGTTCAGACAGCACAGTTATAGAAAAGTATTCCTGTAATCCTGATTGGTTGATTCTGTTTTGGTAGGAATATGGTAATTGTAATAAATATTTTTATTCTAGCCTGTAGATATTATATTGTCAATATGACATCCAAGTTACTCAAATAGTGAATTAGTTAAATAATGCAATATACCTACTTTGAAGTTTTATATTTTAAACCTTGATTTTTACACTAAATATACACAGAAGAGTTTTTTAGAGCTTCTGGATTGTCTTTAATGATAAGTCTTAATTAATAACTTAGCTAAGATATAGTCACATATAATTCATCCATTTTATTCATGAATAGAATATTAATGAAAGAGAATTGTTCTGTAAGTAAAAAAAAAAGACGACCTGTGGCACAAAGGGTTAGAAGCATTGGTGAGTGCACGGTGTGGAAATATGATCAGCATTTTAGTTTTTGTTTGTTAAAATGAAATTTGAAGCTTTTAAAATGTCGACATTAATCTAGTGATACAGATGTTCTTGAGGGCATACAAAGACTCCTTCATTAACTGAGTGATGACTGATATTAGTAAGTAATAACAATCACTTTGACAGTGATATGTGAATCAATCAGGAAAGATGATTGATTCACATATCACTGTCAAAGTGATTGTTATTACTTACTAATATCAGTCATCACTCAGTTAATGATGGAATCTTTGTATGCCCTCAAGAACATCTGTATTACTAGATTAATGTCGACATTTTAAAAGCTTCAGATTTCATTTTAACAAACAAAAACTAAAATGCTGATCATATTTCCACACCGTGCACTCACCAATGTTTTTAACCCTTTGTGCCACAGGTCGTCTGAAAAAAGTAATGAACTTCCTAGCATCAAGCCTGATTTCTAAGACGTTGTTCAGCAAAGCAAACAATGGAGCAAGAGGGAATGCAGCCACAAAAATTGTGACAAATCCAAACTGCAACACTAGAGGAGGAGAAAAAATTACAGAAACTTTCATTAACTTAATATTTTAGGAAATACCTTATGATTAATGGAATCAGATAGTAAATGTAATCTAAATTTACTAAAGTCAGTGGACTACAATAAATTATAATTTTACATAAATATATGTATGGTGACTCCTGAAAGTTTCAAACTTTTCAAACTGATAAAATCTAACCTAATGAAATTTATTCAGGTTTGGAGTTGGTTGAATCATAGATGTAATTTCTAGTTTGACATAAAAGTAAATACAGAAAGATTAACTTCACAATTAAGTAGTGTATTTAAGATGTTTTATTTAAAGAACAAACAAACAAAAACACAGACAGGGCCCTTTTTACTGGGTATTTCTGATAATTAATATTTAATAAATGCTTCCTCTGTACATTGTACTCATCTGAAACCCATACAATTAAAGGAATTTGTTTGTTTGTTGTTAAATACAAAATTGTACAATGTGGAATTTGACCCATGACCACCAATGAAATTGAATTGTTCATTTTTAGCATTATAACCCTTGAGGCTTACCAATGAACCAAGTTCATATCCCAATCTACATCATCAAATACTTACCATATGCTGCTCTAACTAACATTTTTATACACATTAAGACCAAAACATACATTTTAATCATTGCTGTTACATATATATAATAAACATTTAAAAAGATTTAAATTACTTTAGAGAATCTCTAGCACTCACATTCATAGTAGCCAGTTACTCAGTTATCTGGAATAACTCAATTTTAAAGCTCTTTAGTGACATACAGACTAAAGAGCTCATTCTTAAAATCTTAAATAAAAAAAGTTTTCACAAACATAGAAAAAATACCATTTTAATCTGTTCAAGTTTTTATGCAGAACATACACATCTATTATATCTAATGATTTTCACATTTTAGTTCAACTTAAAACTTACCCATTTCAAGATATTCACCAAAAAGACCAGTTTGTTCTTGATTTATTAAGCTGTAGTCGCTCTCCCACTGAGTTGGTGTACAGTTTCCATGATCACACTCCCCCTTTTTATGCACTAAACACTTCTTGTAAACCCGTAAGAGCCATCTAGATAAGTATAAAAAGGTTTATTTTCCCTAATTATTAAAACATGGTTCATCCACCTATGTAACATAAAAACATAATGAGTTTATGCTGCTTACATAAAGGTATAAATACTTTAATTTCACACACAATCTGATTTACCGCATGTTTGTTTGAACATTAATAATCCAAGAATCTTGAAAACATTGAAACCACTACTTGAAATAACACAGTTGTCTCAAAACAGGTTGACTGTCACACAAAGTGTTCTTACATCAAATTGTTACAATAAATAACTATTTAAACTGAAGATAAGGCTAGAAAACTTACGGAACACCCATTTCCATCACAGCATTAAAGGCCTGCTTCCCTACCATAATTATAGCTAACTGCAAAGAGAGTTCCAGCAAACACCCTCCTGTTCCACACTAGGAAGAAATGTATAAAAAACTAATAAACTATTGCAAAATTACTATTGCAAAACCACTTTTAAAAAAATCTTGGAAAGGAATAAGACTGAAAAATATAATAAGATAAAAAACAGTACACCAGAGCATGAAATAACTTGTCCAGTACCAAATGGTCTGAAAATTCATGTTGGGCACTTAAACATTTAAAGGATATGCTTGACTGGCATGAAAAATATCGCATAGATTGACTCTTCGTAGCTTAAACAACACTGTCTGTGGAGAGAGGGTAAACAACTCTGTTTTCTTACAGCCAGTATAAAAAAGAAGTGTAGTTTGAATGTAAGTCAACATTTCATATTTTTCGTACCATGAGTTTATGGTTTCATGAACCAACACCATTGCAAATGCAGGATTTCTTTTAGTTACATTGTTTATCAATTTGTAAATATGGCTGATTTCTATTATGCTGTTGAAGAAAACGTTGTCTAACCAGGGTTAAGACTGAGTATATACAGAGAGTTAACACAGTTTATAAGCTAATGCTGTCTTTGTTAAATGGACTACCTCAGCCAGTGCTGATAAGTTAAATTATGTGGTATCCTTTATACATATAAGAAAATGGCATTCATATGTAGCTTATTTGTACATGTAATCAGCAGTTTATGTATGTTACTAAGTCTGTATGTATATGAATCTCTACTATAATTCTGAATATGAATATGTCTGAGCAACAATTTTAAAAACAACAACAACCATTAATTTCACAACCTGTATACTGGAAACAAAAATCTTTGGAGTTTTTAATTATACCTGAGATTTATATTTATAACTACCGTATAAATTAAAACCTTATAACTACCATATAAATTAAAACCTTATAACTACCGTATAAATTAAAACCTTATAACTACCATATAAATTAAAACCTTATAACTACCATATAAATTAAAACCTTATAACTACCATATAAATTAAAACCTTATAACTACTGG